GCGCTTTTCTTGGCAATTTTTCTACTCGCATTCCCATCATGATAATTGTATAATCGAATAACATGTCGTTTCGTATGATGCGTCAAATTTTTTTTCTATATATTTTGTCACGTATATATAGCAATTGTATACAGAATAATTCGGGAAAATTGGTGACGTAAGAAATTTGCTTTCCGCAGTCATGGTATATAAAAAATCATTTACCTTATAGATGGTTTTGTTGATGGAGAGGTAGTCGTTCGTCCATCGTTTGCCGGACGTTTGCATCGTGTTCGGAGTTGTTTGCTAGTATGCAGACGGCCATGGAAAGGCACAAAACCACGGTGAGCAAAGAACGTATCTTGGATTTTTGGTTTGTCGTGAACTCGCTCGTCAACTGAAAATTAATTTCACTGCTCGGCCGATGATCGCCGTCAGCATTTATATATTATCGTTATCAATGTCCTGGATTTGTTTCCATAAAGTATCGTTTCATGTTAGCTAAAATGTTTCTGTCACCTGACGTTGAGACAACAACTTACGTAAAAGGACATCGTCTTCAATCAGTCGGGAGGCGTTGTCGTATGTCGTATGCATTCGTACAACCTTGATTTTTATGCATCGGCTGTATAACAGCCTGCAAATAAAATTCAAGGCAAAAATTAAGGTTGTGCGCATGCGGTTGTAAGCAAATTAACTAACCGCAGTCGATAATTTTTCGGAATAATCGACTGTGGTTGGTGAATTTGCTTTCGTCTTACGACTAACGACTTATTGTAGGAGGCTTGTAAGATTATTTGTCAAGTCTCTGATGTGCTTTTTCTTTGCACTTGAATGCACACGCATCTTTATCTTATCCTTGACGACAACTTTGATGACAATGGGACATATTAATTATTGTATTTACGCACGACAGGCGTCTTTTCTTTTGTCTCATTACTTTATCATTCATTACATATGGCATATTGAAATGACCATTTAACATAATTAATATAGATTTTACAAGGAACATCAAAGTGTGTGTCTCTGATTTCGACGAAACTTGACATATTTGTAGATTAGCCAAAAATAAAAGATATCTTTTTATCGGCTTAGGTCTAAAGGGTGACTCTTCCTCAAAGTTTCATTCCGTTTATGCTGTCTCGATAACTATTGCAGATAGGAAAAAACTTTTTAAACAAAAATTATATGGTTTTTTATGAAAAATAAAATAGGCTTGATTAAGATAAAAAATATTTTTAACAGTTAACTAAATAACCATGTCAGGCTTAACTATTAATTTATTAAATTCATTATGTGAAGAAAAAAATTAGCATTTTCATTCTGAATCCATAGAATCCAAGAATAATATCAGCATTCTTTTTCTGATTTTTGCGGTTAATTATTAATTTTGCTTTCAAAACTTGTTAATTTTCCATATATATTTGCTATATATTTTTCCTTAAAATGTGCAGACACTCATATTCACAAAAGGCAACTCTTACAAAAATTTATTATTGGTTGTAATAAATTGACTAGTGATAATAAATAATTTTATTATTTACATAAATAATAAAATTATTCGTATGAGTAATAAAATTAATTATTATCACTAGTTTATTACTGTTAATAATAAATTTCTGTAGGTAAATGAGTTGCAGAAGTCACAAATGAAAAATAATGTTCGACAATCTGTTTATATATTAAGTTTATATTTATGTTTATGTATTATATATATATTAAGTTAATATAATATGTTAATGTAATATGTAATATATAATGTAATATATTAATGTAATGTAATATGTTAATGTAATATGTAATATGTAATGTAATATATTAAGGTAATGTAATATGTTTTAAATTATTTTTATACCTGCATTCATAACATGTAAGTAGATACTCATTATTTGTGTAGCGATGTAGCGATTAAGCGCTCGCGCATGTTGCTGAGTACTTTGCTTATGGTATCACTCCCACTTATAAATTGTAATACTCCTATAATTTAAAAATAAAGAAAACATATGTATATATATATATATAGATATATATATATATATTGTAGGAGTATAGAATATCCCGTGCATTTTGAGGCGTCGTGTCGTGGCAGGGGCGGGCCCTACCTCCTCTCCGGCCCGCTGGTCGGAGGCGCGTGTCGTTTGTTTTAGAGAGATCGGGAAGAGGCCCGAAGAGGAGAGTCGGCTTTTGTCAAGACCGCGAGAAGGGAGAAATAAAGAAAAGCTCCTTAGAGCATTGAGAGTGCATTTATTATTATTTGGAGAGAGCATTTATCTCTGTAGGGAGGAATTCCTACAGAATTCAGAAGTGGGATAACTCGTGTGATTCTCGTGACTAAATTCACGCATTATTGGTACGAGAGCGACTGTTGCTGTGTGCAGAAGCGTAGAAAAGGCTGTGTGCCGGTAGAATACGCTGTCGTGTCGCGAGTGCTAGTTAGTGCGTTTGTCACAACCAAAATGGCGAGTCAAAAATACACTGTCGCCCAACTAAAGGAACTATTGAGGGAAAAGGATCTTCCGACGGCGGGTAATAAGGCCGATTTGATCTTATGGTTACGGGAAAGAGTTCCTGGTATATTGGATGAAGCGTGTCAGGTATCTGACGAAGAGATTGATACGGGAGCGGATATCGGTTCACGTAGACCGATGTCGGGAACAGAAGCTCGAATTGACGAGGTCCACTCGAATCCTCATCAGGTAAGAACTCGCGAGGATGATTACGAGTTTCAGTTCATTCAGCGCGATGGAGACTTGTTGCGACGTGAGCTCGAGTTGGTGAGACGCGAAGCCGAATTGGAAGGCCGAGCAAACGCGAGTGACATCAGAAGCCCTGTTGCTAGCGAATATGGCGGCTACAACTTACGAATGATCAAGGACATGCTGAGTGAATTCGATGGCACCGGTAATGAGTATTGGAAATGGGAACGGCAGGTCGAATTCTTGCGCGACACGTACAATTTAGACGACCGTGCAACGAGACTGCTGATAACCTCAAAGCTCACGGGAAAAGCTTTGAGATGGTTCCACTCGAGGCCTGAACATATAAGACTAAGTGCCATGGATCTTATGATTGAGCTGGAATAGATGTTTCATCATCGCCCAAGTAAACTCACGCTGAGGAAAGAGTTTGAACGGCGAGTATGGCAAATGGGCGAAACGTTTAACGAATATTGTCATGATAAAATAATTCTGGCGAACCAAGTACCGATCGAGTGAAATTATTGACTATGTTATAGATGGTATACAGGATTCTAGGCTACAAGACCAAGCGAGGTTGCAATGTTTCGAGAGCACGTCGAAGCTTACGAAAGCTTTTGAAAATATTACACTGAGGGGTCATCCAAAACCCGAACGCAGCACTACGAGTAAGGATCCGATAAAACCGAGGAAGGATGTTAAGACAACAACACCTGAACGTACCGAGACCAATCCAGTGCAAAAGGGGACCATGAAATGTTTCAATTGCAAAGAAAAGGGTCATCGCGCAGCTGAATGCAGAAAACCACGAGTCTCTGGAAAAGCCAACGATCAAGTCAACGACTCGAAGGGCGAGGCGGCGAAACTGTCAGTAGAGACAAATTTGATTCAGAAGTCTTCTGATATCGAACCGTATGAAGTATCTGTCCGCTATAAGGTATCCGATAACGAAAGTGACGCGCGTTTATACTGTTTTAAAGCTATTGCAGACACCGGATCGCCGATTAGTTTGAAAAAGCCTAAACATGCACCGATTAATTGTTGTCTTCCCGTCGCGACACATGATTATCGATACAATGGCATTAATAATTCGCAGTGAAAATTACTAAGCACTTTTGAGAAGGATGTTAGCATAAACGATATAGATGTACATATTAAGTTTTTCGTTATACCTGATACTACGATGAATGCAGACGCGCTATTAGGAAGAGATTTCCTCTCGAATTCCGCAATAAAAGTAGAAATCGATGAGACACTACGGATCTCGCGGAATACGTTTAATTCTTCAAAAAAGGACGATTATCTGTATCAACTCGATCTAGAGAATGCATTACGCTATTCAATCAATCATGAAATACCGCTGACAAAGTCGATCGGGACGACCAACCCGTCAGGATGGACGAGTTGTAGGAGTATAGAATATCCCGTGCATTTTGAGGCGTTGTGTCGTGGCAGTGGCGCGCCCTACCTCCTCTCCGGCTCGCTGGTCGGAGGCGCGTGTCGTTTGTTTTAGAGAGATCGGGAAGAGGCCCGAAGAGGAGAGTCGGCTTTTGTCAAGACCGCGAGAAGGAAGAAATAAAGAAAAGCTCCTCAGAGCATTGAGAGTGCATTTATTATTATTTGGAGAGAGCATTTATCTCTGTAGGGAGGAATTCCTACAATATATATATATATATATATAAAGTCGGAATGAGAAATGCTAACTTTTCTCTCCATATAAAGAATTTGATAAATTAATAGTTGAACCTGACATGGTTATTTTGTTAACTGTTGAAAATATTTTTTATCTTAATCAAACCTATTTTATTTTTCATAAAAGACCGAATAATTTTTGTTTAAAAAGTTTTTTCCTATCTACAATAATTATCGAGATAGCATAAAGAAAATTAAACTTAGAAGGATAGTTTCATTTTTTAAACCTAAGTTATTGCGGATAAAAAAATATCTTTTATTTTTGGCTAATTTACAAATATGCCAAGTTTCGTTGAAATCGGAGACATATACATCGCGTATGTTCTTTGTTAATGCAAAGTCTCCGAGCAATTACTATATCTACTAAATCCAACATAGTAAAAATTGGCCAGTTTCTCGCGGAAGTGACCAGTTTTTCTTGGCAGTTCTTCTGCTCGCATTCCCACCATGATAATTATACAATCGAGTAATACGTCGTTTTGTATGAAGCGTCTTATGTATTTTTTTCTATATATTTAGTATATATAATAACCGTTACACATTCAGAACTTAAATTAAAACATATGTACAGTAGTCTTAAGTTCATATTAATAATTTTTCTAAAGAAGTGCTTCTTTCTTTACTTTGTCACTGTCATTTTCGTCAGATTTCGTCGTCGTTATCGGCAGTGTTATCATTGCCATTGAATGTGTTGTTTATTCTTTCCTTATTGTTTATTTTTAGGGTGTAGTTGGTGTCGTATTTTGCCACGTCGTAGCTCGCCGTGTCGTTGTCTATTCCCGAGTTGTTCATTCCGTTCTTGTCGGTATCTCTGGTAATTGTGTTTGGACCTATGCACCTATGCAGTAACCATCTACTTTTAACGATAATTCCTCACCCTCTTTTCCTCTTGCTATCACCATTAAGGATCTCATGCCGACATCATCAAACAGTTGAAAGTCAACCTCATTGTCATTTAGACTGCTAATCTTAACGTAGGTGATGATTTCGTGAAGCAACGGACACGTTACGGGGATTGTGACTCTCCTGGATACCAAAGAGAGAGCAGGCTGCAATAAATATGAGACGTTATTTTTATATATCCTTTCTTATGTTGATCATTAACGTATTTATAAAGCAACGATTTAAAATAAATTAATAGATAAATAAATAAATATTAATATGACCGTTCTTTCTCATAAAAGTTTCTAAACTTGCTGTGAATTACGAGCGTTAAAGGCGAATCTCGATTTTGCCATACAGGACACGCACGAATTAACACAAAAAACACATTTCTTCCCCTTGCATTCGTTCAAAATCGAATGGGCAGTTTGATTCTGCGCTGTACAGATTACAGAGCAATTCGGAAAAATCGGGAAAATCATGACGTCAGAAATCTGCATTCCTTTATCATGGTATGGAAACAAGCATTTACCTTAAAAATGGTCTTGTCGATGACGGAGTGATCACCCTCCTGTCGCTCGCCGAGGTTGAAGTCGTTTGCTAGTATGCAGACGGCCATGGAGAGGCACAAACCCGCGGTGAGCAAAAAGCGCATTTTGGACTCTTGGTTTGTCGTGAATTCACTTGTCCACGGAAACCTCACTGCTCGACCGATGATCGCTGTCAGCATTTATATATTATCGTTATCAATGTCCTGGGCTTGTTTCTATGAAGTATCGTATCATGTTAGCTCAAATGTTTCTGTCGCCTGTCGCTAAGACAACAACTTACGTAAGATCATTTGTCTCCGTTTCTACCACGCTTTTTTTTGCACACGAACGCACACGCACACCTTTATCTTATCCTTAACGACAATAACAATGGGCCACATTAATCATTATATTTATTTTAATTTAACAATTTAATTATTGTATTTTTATAATTATTGTCTTTAATTATTGTATATTTCGTCCCGGACGAAACGCGTCATTTTTTTAGTCCCATTATTTTACCATCTATTAAATAAGGCAGTGCTGGAAATTAAGTGAGCAGCATGAGCCGATTTCAAAGGCAACGCCCGCGCTTGCCCCACTACTTTTCGAAGCGCAGCGGCCGAGCCGCCGATCGCGCGTGAGACGCTTTGCCTCAGGAATGGTCTCATACGATATAAGATGAGATCGCACCCTCCATCAAACCAAAATTAAAATATTTATTTATCCTTAAAAAATAATTCTTACTCTCATTAATGATGAAATATTACGCTTTTATTTCTAATATATTAAATTCTCTTTAATAATAATATAGTGATGATAATAATTAAGAATATAATTATTAAAGTTTTCCAATAGATTTCCACATCACCCATGAGGTAGTATTGTTGATGCGTTTTTTTAATGGTTTCTCCAGTAGGCCTACTCCACTAAAAATTAATGAAAATGAAATATATGGCTCAACAGGAAAGCGAAATGCTAAATCGTGAGAAATATAAAAACGAAAGAGGAAGAATAAGTATAGCGCAAAATGACCAATTTTTATAAAAACATTAATTGGATTTTCTTAAAAAAAAAACGCACCAACAATAGTACCTCATGGGTGATGTGGAAATCTATTGGCAAAACTTTAATAATTATATTCTTAATTATTATCATCACTATATTATTATTAAAGAGAATTTAATATATTAGAAATAAAAGCGTAATATTTCATCATTAATGAGAGTAAGAATTATTTTTTAAGGATAAATAAATATTTTAATTTTGATTTGACGGAGGGTGCGATCTCATCTTATATCGTATATGAGACCATTCCTGAGGCAAAGCGTCTCACGCGCGATCGGCGGCTCGGCCGCTGCGCTTCGAAAAGTAGTGGGGCAAGCGCGGGCGTTGCCTTTGAAATCGGCTCGCGCTGCTCACTTAATTCCCAGCACTGACATAAGGCATATCAAAATGCCTGGTTAACATAATTAATGTGCATCTTAGTACAGTCTCCGAACAATTACTGTTTATTAAATTCTAGTAAAAACTGGCCAGTTTCTCGCGGTAGCCACCAGTTTTTCTTGGCAATATTTCTACTCGCATTCCCACCATGATAATTGTACAATCGAGTAACACGTCGTTTCATATGATGCGTTTTATTTATTTCTTTTTTCTATATATTTAGTTACATATACATAGTAACCGTTACACATTTAGAATTTAAATTAAAACATGTGTACATCAATCTTAAGTCCAAATTAATCATTTTTCTAAAGAAGCGCTTCTCTCTCTACTCCGTCGTTATCATTGTTAGCCCAGATTTCGTCGTCGTTATCGATAATGCTGTCGTTGCCATTGAATGCATCGCTTATTCTTTCTTCACTGCTCATTTTCACCGCATGTTGTTGACGTACTTTGCTATGTCGTAGCTCGCTACGTCGTTGTTTACTCCTGTGTTATTGCTTGCATTGTTGTTGTTAGTCTCGATGTTGTTGTTGTCGGCGGTTCTGAGGAAATTGTGTTTGGATCAATATATATAATAACCTTCTATTTGTAATCATAATCCTTCCCTATTTTTGCTGTTGCCATTATTTTTAAGGATGTCGTGTTGACATCATCTAAGAGCGAGAAACCTCTTTGCCATCAGTACTGCTAATCTTAATGTAAGAGATGATTTCGTTAATCAGGCACGTCACGTTGATGACTGTTATGGGCTCCCAAAGGTACAGAATCCGCAATAAATATATGTACAATATTATTCTTATATATCCATTCTGCATTGATCATTAATGTATTGTACTAAAAGAAATTCCAAATAAATAAATAAAAAGTGCAAATAAATAAACGGATGAATAAATAAATATTAATATGATTGTTTTTTCTCATAAAGGTTACTAAACACATGCTGTGAATCACGAGCGTTAAAGGCGAATTTCGATTTCGCCACATTTAACGCGCATAAATTAACATGAGAAACACATTTCTTCCTCCTGCATTCGTTCAAAATCGAATGGGTAATTTGCTTTTGCGAATTAAAAATCATAGAGCAATTCGGGAAAATTGGTGACGTGAGAAATTTGCATTCTCTTCTAAATTATGTTGTAGAAACGCGCATTTATCTTAGAGTTGACCCCGTTGGTGGCGTAGTGGTCGCCCGTTTAGCGTTCGCCGAGTTCGAAGTCGTTTGTTAATATGTCGAAGGCCATGGAAAGACAAAACTGCGGTGAGTAAAGAGCGCATCTTGGATTCTTCGTTTGTTGTAGATTCGTCTGTCTACTGAAATTTCACTGCACGACCAGTGATCGCAGTCACTATTTATATACTTTCGTTATCAATGCTGTTGCGTGTTGTATGATAGAGTGGACTGTATATAGTTGTGTCGGTTCATAATGATTTAATACGAATTTGCACAATATTGCGACTTTGCGTTTATTGTGTTGCTGCTACGCTGTTCTCGCTCTCACATCGTCATTCTTTGTCTCTCTGCCTATTATCGCCTGACCAATCACAGACAAAGCCTCTCGATCACAATTCTAAACGGAGCGCGCGTAGTTTGATTTGAAAACACATAAACGGAAACATAAAGAGTATCTATTCATTCATTCATTCATTCAATATATGGCTCTGAGCAGAGTTGTTATACTCCTTCTCCTACGCCAATCACAACGATTTTAGAAATAAAAGAGAAACAGGGACAACGCGTACGCAGTCTCCAAGATCAAAAATATGTGCAGTTACGAGAACCACATCCAACCGCCGTGAAGGCGAACAAAAGATTTAAAGAGTATCTAGTAAATATGCCTTGGGCTTGTTTCTATGAAGTATCGTCTTATGTTAGCTCAAATGTTTCTATTGTCTGACGCTGAAACAACAACTTACTTGTACCTGTATTCATAGTCGGGCCTTATATTTGAGGCCTCCTTATATCCATCTTTAGATGCTGCACGGATTATTTTATTGGCTACAGACCATTTGAAGATAAACTTAAGGAAGTCTTAAATATAAGGCCTGACTATGAATACGGGTGTTATTTAAGATCATTTGTCTCCGTCTTTGACGCGCTTCTTCCTTGCACACGTACACCTTTATCTTATCGTTGACGGCAATGACAATGGGGGCGCATTAATTATTGCATTTACTCACGAAACGCATCATTTCTTTTATTTCAATTATTTTAATATCCACTACATAAGGCTTATCGAAATGTTTAACACAATTAATATGGAACTTATTGCAAAGTCTCTGAGCAATTACTAAAGTTTGAGCAAGTACTAAAGTAAGTCCACTAAAGTTACTAGCTAGTAAAAACTGGCCAGTTTCACGCGGTAGCTATCAATTTTTTTTGGCAAATTTTCTACTCGCATTCCCACCATGATAATGATAATCGATTGTACAATCGAGTAACATGTCATTTCGTGTAATGTGTCTTATTTATTTTTTCCTATATATTTAGTCAGGTATACATAGCAACCGTTACATACTTAGAATTTAAATGCAAACGTGTACACGGCAGTCTTAAGTCCAAATTAATAATTTTTCTAAAGAAGCGCTTCTTTCGCCATTTCGTTATTGTCATTGTTAGGCCAGATTTCGTCGTCGTTATCAGTAGTTCTGTCGTTGGCATTTAATGTGTCGTTTATTCTTTCTTTACTACTTATTTTCCCCGGGTATAGTTGACGTCGTACTCTGCAATGTTGTAGCTCGCCGTATCGTCGTCTACTCCCGCGTTGTTCATTCCGTTGTTGTCGGTGCCTCTGAAGTAATTGTGTTTGGATCTATTGGCTCTTTTCAATGCAGTAACCATCTACTTTTAACCATAATCCCTCGTCCCTTTTTCCTGTTACCTTTACCGCTACGGATTTCGTACCGACACCACGGTACGGATTATAGTTAACCTGACTGTCATTTATGTTGTGAATCTTAACGTAGGTGGTGATTTCATTAACTGGACACGTCACTCCGACTGTGACTATCGTGCCCTTCGGATTCCAATAGTTCGGAGGCTGCAATAAATATGCGATATTATTCTTAAATATCCGTACATTCTTATATTGATCATCAACATATTGTATTGAAACATTAACGTATTTGTAAAGGAACGATTCCAAATAAATAAATAGATAAATAAATAAATATTAATACGTCTTTCTCGTAAAAGTTATTAAAGGCTCACTATGAAAATCACGATCGTTAAAAGTGAATCTCAATTCACCACGCATGACACGCATGAATTAACGCGAGAAATACATTTCTTACTTTTGCATTTGTTCAAAACTGAATGGGCAGTTTGCTTCTGTGAAGTAAAGATCACAAAATAATTCGAGAAAATTGATGACGTGAAAAATCTATGTTCTTCAGTTATGATGTAGAAACCAGTATTTACCTTAGTGATGAAAGCGTCCCTGACGGAGTGATCGCCCGTCTGGCGTTCGCCAAGTTCAAAGTCGTTTGCTAGTATGCAGACAGTCATAGAAAGGCACAAAACCGTGGTGAGCAAAGAGCGCATTTCGGATTCTTGGTCTGTTGTGGATTCACTTGTCAACGGAAATCTCACTGTACGACCGATGATCGCCGTTATCATTTATATACTGTCGTTATCAATATCCGGGGCTTGTTTCTCTGAAGTATCGTATCATGTTAGCTCAAATGTTTCTGTCGCTTGATGCTGAGACAACAACTTACGTAAGATCATTTTTCTCCGTCTCTGACGCTTCTTCCTTGCACACATACATTTCCATCTTTTTTGACGATTATGATAACGGGGCACATTAATTAATGTATTTATGCACGAGAGGCGTCATTTTTTTTAGTCCCATTATTTTATCATCCTTTACGTAAGGCATATCGAAATGACCGCTTAACATAATTAATATGGATCTTATGGATTTATGGACAAGGATATTTACGGAAGTGTTACTCACTGATTTTAATGAAACTTTGCACATTTGCAAAGCATCGAAAAATAATCGACACGTATTTTTTTAGTTTTGCAATGGTTTTGTAAGTTAAAGGGTAAAAACCACCGCTTGAATGTTAGATATGGTGTCCAAGCATAGACAGAAAACAATCATATAATTTAGAAGAAAAAAATGCTTTCAGGGAGTTTTTGATGCAGCTGATTCCGAATGTGACGTCAAAATTATAAAATTCAAAATGGCGAGTCTAATATGCCGACTACATCTCATGACAAAGGGTGGTTTTCAAAGTACGAATCAGAAACAATTGTATAAATTAATAGAAAAAATGCTTTGAAAGTTCTCATAACTGTAAAATTCTTTATAAAGTATGGCATAAGTTACTTACTGTATTCAATTATTTTTAATGTGCGGTATTGTCTAACAACCTGCACTTTATTTGGATCATTAGATGAATCTATTCAAAATTACGTGCCGTATAATAAAGTATGGCATAAGTATTTATTATGTAGAGTGTAGAATTCCTGTTTCACATAAATATAGCTCAAGTATAGCGAACTTATCAACAGGTGAAGAGAAGGAAAATTATTTTTATAATGTATGTATATAAACGCCTATGAAAAAACATGCCAAAAATATCAGGAAAAATATATCATTAATTGAAAGAATTTTGCCGCTGCCGCTGGCAATCAAACTCAAACTCAATGCACAAGAATCTAAAGACCTAATAACTATGCTGCCAACTATCAAATCTGTTATCAAAACGATCGATTTAATTTACATTTATATAAATGCACGTAAAAAAGAAAAATTATTAAATATTTAATTATCCACTAGTAATTTTCATATGTTATTATTTAAGAACGAATTTTACAGCTATTTTCAAAGCATTTTTTCTGTTAATTTATACAATTGTTTCTGATTTGTATTTGGAAACCACCCCTTTCAGATGTAGTCGCCATATTGGATCTGCCATTTTGAATTTTATAATTTTGACGTCAGATTCGGAATCAGCTGCATCAAAAATTTCCTGAAAGCATTTTTACTTCTAAATTATATGATTGTTTTCTGTTTATACTTGGAGACTATGTCTAACGTCCAAGCGGTGGTTTCTACCCTTAAACCCGTACCATTGCAGAAATAAAAAAATAAGTGTAGATTATTTTTTGATGTCCTACAAGTGTGTAAAGTTTCATTAAAATCAGTGACTGACACTTCCGTAAGTCTCCTTATCAGTACATAAATTAAAACGTATGTATGGCAGTCTCAAGTCCAAATTAATAATTTTTCTAAAGAAGGGCTTCTCTCTCTACTCCCTCATTGTCATTGTCAAGACAGATTTCGTCGTCGTTATCGGCAGTGCTGTCGTTGCTATTGAATGTGTCGTTTATTCTTTTTTTACGACTCATTTTCACCAAATGTAGTTGACGTCATACTTTGCCATGTCGTAATTCGACGTTGTCGTGGTCGTTATCTGTTTGCGTGTTCTTTATTCCGGTGCATCTGAGATAATTGTGTTTAGATCTATGCAATAACCTTCTGCTCTTAATGATAATCTCTCGCCTATTTTTCCTGTTGCCATCACTACTAAGGATGACGTGCCGACATCTTCTACGAATAGTCGGTATGTAACGTTTTTGCAACTTATATTGCTAATCTTAACGTAAACGTTGGTTTCGTTGTGTGGACACGTTAAATCGATTATAACTTCCACGCCTATCCAAGGGAGTCCAGGCTGCAATAAATATGTAACATTATTCTAATATGTTCATTCTTATATTGATCATTAACTTATCGTTCTGGAATATTAACATTATTCGTAAAGGAATGATTCCAAATAAATAAATAGATAAATAAATAAATATTAATACGAGCATTCTTTTTTATAAAAGCTACTAAGTGCTCACTATGAATTACGCACGTTAACGGCGAATATCGGTTTTGCCACGTATGACATGCATGAATTAACGAGAAATGTTAGGTCGTTAACCCATTAACGCCCAAAAATCCTAAAATATTAGCCTTACTCTGTATTTTATGTAGAGACTGTATTTTATGTAGAGAAACATATTATATAAGGTTGGAATAGCATTTCCTTATGTTTTCGGGGTCATTCTACAAGATTCCGGCATCAGAATTCGTTTAGATTCACAATAAAATCCAATATGGCGGAATTTTTAGAAAGAAGTCGTGAAAAATCGACAATTTTATTTTTTATAAGCTTGATTTCGCATCAAAAACATTACTTTAATACAGATACAAGTGTCACATCTTGTCTCACAAATGTTGAACTTTCAAGGTATGCATTGGTAAAAATGTGAATTCAATATGGCTGTCTGAAAATGACGGTTTGAGCGAGAAAAACTTAAAAAATAATGTATTTTTAGAATAACTTCGCAAAATCCTAGTATTTAGCATCAATTTAGTATTCAGGGTACTGATTTTAGGACATTTGCTGACAACTAATTCATATTAGAGAATTTCAAAATGGCGGATCCAAGATGGCGACTAAAAGGCACGAATAATCATGAAAATTTCCAGATTTTCATGAATTTTCTTCTATTATTTTCATATTCATGAATTATTTTCGAGACGTACACACGCACGTATATAGGATGGGTAATTATAAACTTAAAAACTTTATAAAAAATATAAAAAACATCGCGATAAGTACAACGGACGGGAAAAAATTGGAATCGACTACGTAAAGTTTTGAGAAAAATTATTAAATAAGTGAGCGAATAAATGCGCATTGGTCGGACATCGCGGACCTGCTACTCCACACAGCTTGGACCGGATTGATAGGCAACAACTGCGCGCGCCGGTCTGCTGTTGTTGCCTGTCAATCCGGCCCAGCCGTGCGGAGTACCATGCCTGTGATGCCCACAACGCATGCCCACTGAGCGTTTATTTGCTCATTTATTTAGCAATTTTTCTCAAAACTTTACGTAGTCGATTTCTATTTTTTCCCGTCCGTTGTGCTTATCTCGATGTTTTTTTATGTTTTTTATAAAGTTTGTAAGTATATAATTACCCACCCTATATATGTACGTGTGTACGTCTCGAAAATAATTCATGAATATGAAAATAATAGAAGAAAATTCATGAAAATCTGGAAATTTTCACGATTATTCGTGCCTTTTAATTGCCATCTTGGATTCGCCATTTTGAAATTCTCTAATATGGATTAGTTGTTAGCAAATATCCTAAAATCAGTACCCTGGATACTAAATTGATGCTAAATACTAGGATTTTGCGAAGTTATTTTAGAAATACATTATTTTTTAAGTTTTTTTCGCTCAAACCGTCATTTTCAGACAGCCATATTGAATTTACATTTTTACCAATGCATACCTTGAAAGTTCAATATTTTTTAGACAAGATGTGACACTTGTATCTGTATCAAAATAACGTTTTTGATACGAAATCAAGCTTATAAAAAATAAAATTATCGATTTTTCACGACTTTTTTCCAAAAATTCCGCCATATTGGATTTTATTGTGAATCTAAACGAATTCTGATGCCGGAATCTTATAGAATGACCCCGAAAACATAAGGAAATGCTATTCCAATACATAAATCTACATAAAATACAATTGCAAAGTAAGGCTAATATTTTAGGACTTTTGGGCGTTAATGGGTTAAGTATGAAATGTCCGATTTCGAATCAAAAGTTTGGTTTATTATATCTCAAACTAGAAATAGAGTACAATTAACCCAAGTATGTGCCTAAATTATCGGCACAGTTCTGCCATCTTAACTTAGTTTATTAATGCCAGCAGCAAAGAAGTCTGAAGACAATGAAATCGCGGAAGACGTTTTCCACAGCTTGTTGAGAATTGAATATTTTTCCTTGCAAGAAATAGTCCAGTGCCTGGAAGAAGTGATAGTCAGTTGGTACAAGATCTGGTGAACGCGGTGGGTGACAAAGAGTTTCCAGGTTCAGCTCCTGTAGTTTGAGCAACGTTGTTTGTGTGACATGTGGTCGAACATTGTCTTGCAAGAAGATTACCTGCGTCTATTGATCAATCTCGACTGCTTGATCGCATTTTCATCATTTCGCCTAGTTGATTACAGTAGACATTCGCTGTAATCGATTGACCAGGTTTCATGAAGCTGTAGTAGATAATATCAGCGCTGAACGACCAAACAGACACTATTAGCTTTCTTCTGTGAATATTCGATTTCGGACTGTTTTTCGGCGCTTCATCCATATCCAATCATTGTGCCGAACACTTGCAATTGTCAAAAAGAATCCGCTGTTAATCACACGTAACAATACAATGTAAAAATGGTTCGCTTTTACATCGTGATAGCGAAGAAAGACAAGCTTCGAAACGACTTCCCTTCTGACGCTTGTTTAATTCATGCAGGACCTATTTATCCAGCTTCTTTATCTTGCCGATTTGTTTCAAGTGATCCAATATTATTGGAATAGTAACGTTAAACCTTGCTGCTAATTCACGCGTAGTTTGAAATGTATCCGCTTCCACTACAGCTTTCAGCTCATCATTATCCTTAGTTTCGGATCACCAACGTGGTTCATTTTCAAGATTAAAACCGCCAGAACGAAACTTCTCAAACCATCGACGTATTGTACGTTCATTAGCCACATCTTCACCAAACACTTCGTTAATATTTCGAGTTGTCTGTGCTGCATTGGTTCCACGACGGAACTCA